GGGAAATTTTCCTGTCTTTTGCAAGCTTAACATTTTTATATGTAATTTTTAAAAGTGAGGCTATACCTGAAACTACAGGGTTTTAGAGGCTAGGCCCTGTGAAATACATTTGCTTTATCAATGTTAGTGCTCTCTACAGGGGAGGGCACTGGGGTGGGGCAGCAAGGCACCTAAAGAGACAGGGTGACATGTCCAGCCTTTAATGCCTCCCTCCTCCCACAGGTGGGGAGCCCGACATGACAGTGGCTGTATGTATCGGCTCCTTGTCCAACTTCTAGATGCCAACCAGACCGTCCTGGATAAATTCTCTGCTGTACCTGATACCATCCAGCAATGGAATAACAATACCTGCTTTCAGGTGAGTCTCAGACAGGGGGGAATAGGGAAAGGATGGTGGAGGCCCATGATGGTTATCCATTGCTACATAGCAAATCACCCCAAAACTTAGTGGCTTAAAACCAGCAGCAGTCATTTATTACCTCCCATGGTTTCTATGAGTCAGTAATTTGAGAAGGGCTCAACTGGGTGGTTCTGGTCCAGTCTCTCATGTTCAGACGATGGCTGAAGCTGAAGGGTAGGGTGGTGTTTGGTGTGAGTGTAGCAGCTGGTGGCCAGCCAAGCAGCTCTTTCTTCATTTAGTCTCAGAGTTTCTCCATGGGATCTCTTCACTTGGGCTCCTTTGGGCTTCCTCACAGCCTGGTGGCCTCTGATCAGTCAGTCTGCTTACATCGTGGCTCAGGGGTGAGGAAACACTCCTGTGTCTAGAGAAGCAGCCAGAAGCTGCATTGCCTTTTCTGACCTAGCCTTGAAAGTCACTTGGTGACTCAGCGTCACTTACACCACATTCTTGGTGACAAGCAAACCTGCCCAGGTTCAAGGAGAAGGGGATTACATTCTACCTCTTGATGAGGAAGTGGCAGGATTCTAGAAGAACACGTGGAATGGGAGATGATGTTGCAGGTGTCTTTGGCAAATACCATCTGCCAGAAGCCGCAACCTCAGCTTTTGGGGGGAAGGGTGTGGCACAACAGGGCTGACCCCTTCCTCTACCCACAGGTCACCCATGTGTTCTCCAACATCAAAATGGGCGTCCGTTTTGTGTCTTTTGAACACTGGGGCCAGGACACACAGTTCTGGGCTGGCCACTATGGAGCCCGTGTGACCAACTCCAGTGTGATCATGCGAGTCCGTCCGTCCTAGGCAAGGGCTGCAACTTCTTGCAAGACAGTCTGACTGTGCCTTCCAGGAGCTGGGATCATTGGCTGGGACCCCTCAACCAAGCACTTCTACCTCCTTGGCAGACTGGTAACTCCTGGGTCTGGTCAAGGGTCCTGCGAGGCCCTGTTTTCAGGTTCTGGAAAATACTGGAAGAAGTTTCTTCCATCAGATCTACCTACTGTTGCTACTTTAGCGGGGCCCTGCCTTACTGAGGGGAGACCCACAGGTGAGCATGGGGGGGTGCTGGTCTTAGAGAGAGCTTCTCGCCCTCGCCTGTCCTCCCTCCCCACCAACAGTCCTCTGACTGAGCCCCAGACCCTTCTCCCCATCCCCTCCATTGGCATTTTGTCTCCTCCTGCTTCTGCTTCAGGGACTTTCTTGGTCCCTTCAGGGAAACCCTCTACTCATCTCTGACCTTAGAATCTCATCCTTGGACTAAGCAAAATTCCAGCTGCCTTGGGTGGTGAATTTAGCCTCCTGAGGCTATTGAGCTACAGGGCTGGGACCAGGTCTCGCAGCTGAAAGTCAGCTAGGTCAGAAACAGTGTGTGGAGATAGATGGTTCTGCCCACACTAAGTTCTCTGAAAAATGAGAGCCCAACTCTGAGACCCAACCCTGATCCTCAAGGACCTCTGTAATTGTGTGGTATTTAAAATTATTTTATTTTTCATTTTGACATTTTGGCAATGAGAGGATAATATATCAGCAACATGTATCTGCTAAGCATATGTAATAAATTTATTATTTTGCCAAAACTGTTTCAGATCTTTTTAATAGAAATACAGTGTTACTGCCTTGGTTACTGCTTGGTTCATAGTAACAAGTAGTCCCAGCTGAGGAGATAAAACTGCAA